ATAGAGCTCGTCGAGTTCTACTTGGAACCGGGTTGGAACACTTGGAACACGTTCCGGGACGAATATGGGAAGGTTTTAGTATGCAGGTTTGCCTTTTCCCATAGAAAAAGAGCAGTATTGTGGATTTTTCTCAGGACTGGTTTGGGCTATGGAAAATCGAAGGTGACCATAAGATAGAGCTCGTCGAGTTCTACTTGGAACCGGGCTGGAACACTTGGAACACGTTCCTGGACGAATATGGGAAGGTTTTACTCGAATATGGAGCTAACTTCACCTACGTAAAAAAAACAGTACTTCATTCATGTAATTACAGTTTTGTTGAAACATCTAAGTACCTAATAAAATATGTAAGACGAACGTTCTCATAACTGTCATGTTTTCTTTTTATTAAAGTGTGATCTATTTTTCAATAAATGTATGACAAATGTCTCTATAAGATAGTGAGATTTTGCTTTCGATTTTATTTAAGGATAATATTCTAATTAATGTTAAACTTTTTCCCAATTACATACAAACTCTTGAGCTATAATCAAAGTTTATGCTAGAAGTGACATACTCGTAGAAATGAAGACGAATATCTTACTAATATGAAAGTTAATAATATACTTTCTATTTTCTAGGAGTTACCGCAATACAAAACCAAATTCACACTGTCATGAAAAACGAGTCAGTAGTATTTTGCCAATATCAACTAATTTTACACTTCGAAATTTTAGATTACAATGGATGCAAATGCAAGCTGGATTTATCGTACAACTACTTTGCCGTATTTTCTTTCTTCTACCATTAACTGATATCCCTTTACAATTTCTTTTTTTTCTTTGTTTTCTTATTCTTTATTTTTTCATCTGTTATTCATGATTTATCGAAGTTGACGATCTTCCCTCACTTCTTTTTTTCTTGAATCTGTCATATCTATCAGAAAGAAAATAAATTATTCAAAGAAGATTATCTGCAGAAAAATCAAGGAAGAAAAATGATTAACATATTTTGTTTACATGAAAAATGCATAGTTACCATAAAGAACCGTGTTTGTTATATTTGTATTATCTGGAATCCATAATGATTGATCTCTAACGCCAAGTCGTTGTTGTATTAATGTTGTTATTGAAAATTCGAAAATCAATTATATATTGACTCATTAGCACGAGTCAATGCATAAATATTTACTGTTCAATATTTTTATTTACCTGATTTTAAAATGCGATTCACCCGTTGTTTGAAAATAGTATATTTTCTCCATTTAATTGAACAAGCCAATCCATGACCATCATTATGTAAAAATAAATGAACAATGTATAAACGTTGATACTCTTTTTACTTTACTCTCAGAAAAGTCTTGTCTGAGCTCCAAGAAATTCTAAGTATTTTGTAATTTCTTTCAGATTCTTGATTTTTTTTATCCAGCACTCAAGATTCTTTTTTTTTTCATTCCTAAAAAGAATCTTGATTGACTGATCAAGAAAAATAAAAATTTGGAAAGAATGATAGTGAGCGTGTCGACCCAGTCAGTCAAAGACTTTAAAAAAACTCATAAAAACATGAAAAATTTTAACGAAAAAAAATCGTAAAAAGCGCACATTTTATGAATTTTGTCTTGGTTCAAAACTTTAACGCGTTAAAGTTGTGATCGATATAAAACGTATTGTTGGATTGTAACAAAAAAAAAATTCAAAAATGTGCGCTTTTTACGATTTTTTTTCGTTAACATTTCGAAGCGTTTTCACGCGTTTTTGGTTATTTCTAGTCTAGCTGTAAAGCTACCAGATTTTTCCAAATATTTTTTTCATGAGATGCTGTAAGACTATGAGATTTGGAAAAAGTCTAATTTTCGAAAACTGACTCGGATTTTACACACAAACAGGCTTTAAGTGTATAACTTGCATAAATAAAACATAAGTTTTCAACAAAGCCTCTCATAAGAGTCAATTTGTAAGAAAAGTCTCTATACATGATCTATACTAAACACGGTTTTTTTTTGGAAATATTGTGTTGGTGAGAAGCCTTTGTTGAAAACTTATATTTTTTTATGAAAGTTTTGTACCTAAAGCCCGTTTGTGTGTAAAATCCGAGACAGTTTTCGAAAAGTTGACTTTTTCAAAATCTGATAGTTTCACAGCATTTCATGAAAAAAAATATTTGGAAAATTTTGGTAGTTTTACAAGTAGACTAGAAATAACCAAAAACACATGAAAACTCTTCGAAATGTTAACAAAAAAAAATCGTAAACAGCACACATTTTTTTATTTTCTTATGACCTAAATTATTGGAGAAATCTGATAACTTCATCAAATCAAAATGGAGACTCAAATGTTTGCAGGTGTTTCCCAGAGTATTCTTTAGTATCTCCAAAGAAAAGATTTATAGAAATCACGAAAGTTGTTTGAAGTAGTTTTTCCCGTAAGTAACTGGAGGTAAGAAGTGTCAGAAGTTAAATGCCTAAGTTTTAAAAAAGTCTTTATAATGATTTAACGCATTTTAATATTCTCACAATAATTCCAAAATAGCTAATATCTCATATGTACAATTTTTCTAACTGACAAGTCTGTTAACTCCAAACATTTGCTCTTGTTTTGCTCATTCCACAATCAAAAAATGACTAGAACAAAGTTAGAAATATAGGAATAGGAAGCTTTTCATTTCTTGATTTTTAGGCGCTCAATAGGACTTGTGTCATATAAATTCAAAATAAAAATATTTTAAACTGAAGATATAGATATGTCTATAGAATTAGAAAAGTTCATAAGTTCAAAGTAGTATCTATTATCTCGAAAAACTACTTGATACAATTAGATAAATAGTGGTATAATACGAACTTACATTGTTGTCGAATCTTTGACACGCAATCTATATGTGTAATTACAAGATATTTTTCTTAAACTGATCATGACATAAGTATTACTAATATTTAAGAAAAGGAAAAATCTGATATTAGTCTTTTACTCAAGTTTTTGATTTCTAAATAACTCTATCTATAGCTAACTCTAATTAATACAGCGCAAAATTTTCTTATCAAAAATATTTTCAAGACTAGACGAATTTGATCTATTCATCGAATGCTACATGAAATTGAATAATTATGTAGGAGTATTTGATACGTTTTCGTTGCATTTTTTCAAATAATTTCTCATATTAACGTATTTTAATATACAAATTTCTATGATTTTTACAATGAAACGACATTTTGTAAACAGTAAGTATTACGATAAGATAAGGCTCATACTTGGTATCCTCTTTGAAAAGAATTTTTGTTAAAACAAGAATTTCATATTTTTATGCATTAAAATGCTTTTTAATCAGTTTTATATAGCTAAACAGAATGCCTAACAACAGTCAAAATTTCGATGGAATAATCAAAATTTGACACTTACCTTTAAAAGAAGGAAAACGAATAACGCAAATTATGCACAAGAATGTAAAGTCAAACCAATAATAACAGTAGAGTACATATGGTCCAGTGATTCGACGAAAATAGGACTTTTAATATACTCAAATAAACTTTCTGATGAAACTTCTAAAGGCTACTCTGTTTTTTTCTATTGATTGATTAGAAGTAAATTTAAAATTTTACTCAACTATTCCTGAATACTTTAAACTACCGTGATAGGTGGCACTAGAATTTTTATTTCGTTATTTTTCACAAAACAATGAGTTAAATCCAAAATTACATTGAGATTATTAAATAAAAAAGAAAGTAGAGTTCTCTTGTGGAATTTTTATCAAAGGACGGGGGCGCATAAGATACCAAATCGGCCCATTAGAATTTTTCAGATTTAGTCCTATTGAATTATATGTCATTGGAGAGAGCAAAGCGAGACTAGTATTTTGGTGCTATTCTCAACAAGTTTTTATTGAATTTTGAAAGCTAAAAGTTACCAAGAAAATCAACCATTTTTTTCTCATTAGTGTAACAATTTTCCTATTGATGATACATTCAATGTAGACTCAATTTCATAATAAATATATACCATTTCATAGCTCTTGAACAGAGCTACAATTCTATTATAGTTTTAATTAGAAAAAATCTTGACCCATGGTACATCATAGGACCATAATAGTTATTATGTACTCTGCCTATGACATTTTTAAAGATTTTTCTATTTCATTTTCTCAACTATAATAGACATTTTAGTTTTTATCCATTAGTTTGATATAGATTTATACTTGTATGTGAGATTTAAAGTATTCTAAAAAATTTGAAACATATATCTAAATACATTATGACATATTATAGATTCTATGAATATCATCAATATATAGTATTGTATCACAAATGTATTGTTTTCACACTTTTTATTAAAATAACATTTCATAACTGTTGATAATATAATAAAACGTATTTTTCAAAATGTTTAGCTAGTATGAACAATGTTAAGCGATATAAATCAGATGAATGTAAATGATTTTAGAATATGCTATTTTATTGATATGAACAAATATATCAGACTTATATAATAAATATATATTTATATATTTATAATATTTTCTGTTTTTCTTTTATATAACAAATTATGTATTCTACTATACAGTATCTAAGTATTAAGATTTTATATCTTAACCTATAGTTGGTCATCCTTATATCTCATGTACTGATTTCAATAATCTAAAAGAAATCTTTTAATTATAGTTGAATAATATCAAGAAAATCTTTTTCTATCATGTGGATATTAGTATAGTTTGTAAATATGGGGAATAAGGGTGTGGGTCCGGATCTGGGTGTGGGTGTGGATGTGTGGGTGTGGGTGTGTGTGCGTGCCGGTCTTTTAATCATCTGCACCCACACCCACACCTTCCACCTCACACCCACACCCACACCCACACCCACCCACAGTCACCCACACCCCTTTGCTCCACGTCATGTTAATTTATCAATATTAGTACCGGAATTAATAAAAACATTAAAAAATCGAGATTTATTATGAAGATGTGCATATGTTTCATGTTTAAGACAATTATCATAACGAAAAGCGAAAGAAGTTAATAAATATACGAAATTATTTATGAAAGATACAGGACAATATTTATCAATGGGACTTTCTGAATTTCGAAGTCTTGAAGGTTTTTAAATTTTTTCTTTTTTGAAATATTTATAATTGTGTATTGAATTTAGAATTACTTTTTTCTATGCTTAATACAGAAACAGATGTGAAATTATGTTCACATATACAAGATACACTTGTTTATATGCTACAAGCATTAGGAGCTAGTAATTTAACATATTGGTTACAATTATGTAAAGATGTTCTTACTGCTACAACAGGTAATTATTCAATCAGAGAATAATGTTGTTTTTCTCTTCGAAAAATAAAATTGAGATATTGTTAAATTTAAATAAACAAATTTTATTTGGAAATTGATAGAAAAAATTGTATTTGGGAATATTTTTTGTTATTCTACATAAATGATGTTTGCAAATGATGATGATGATGATAATGAGAAAGAATGGAATGAAGAAGAACAAACATAAGGTTATCAAGCATTATTAGATCCAGATGATGATGAGCAAAAAATAATTTAGAATGGATTTGAAAATTTGATTTTTATGTTGTAGAATTTTTATAGAACAATAAGAAAAGAAGGAGAATGTTGAGGAAGTTGAAGAAGAAGAAGAGGAAGAGATAGAGTTTAGTCGAACACGAAGTGACTACTGATGATCAAATAAAACCATTTTCTTGTCCATTATGCTCGGTATCTTTCAGTAAATTCAAAACATATCGAGAGTATTTTGTTTCTACTGAACATCAATATAAACGTCGTGATGAAAAGAAATATCTTGGGATTTGTTTTATTTTCATCTAAAAAAATTTATTTTCATTTTTCATTTTAAAGAAGAATATGTCATTGAAACTTCACCAGTAGAATTATTTGTTAATTTATTAATTTATAACAGAGTAAGAAATAATAATATTGATTAAAAACAATATATTCATTAAAATTTGTTAGATATTATTTAAAAGTGTTCAAATTGATATTCAATCTGTTGATTTTAGTGTAACTGGTTCATTGGAATATAATAATGTTAAATATGAACATCAACATGTATCAACATTTAATAATTTATACCAATCACTTGTTCAGAAATTTAATCAAGATTATGAAAAATATCAATAAAAAAAATGCTACCACACAGTTTTTTTTGTTACACGAGGTAAAGAAAGATTTTTTTGGGCTAAATGAAAAAACAAGATTATAGATTGAACATATTTAGATATTTGTCGAAAAGAAGTAGATAATACATGGACTATAGCACGTTACTATGATAATACAAGAAAATCTAATGAATAAATTATTAAAGTAAAAAAATGGAAAATTGAGTCTTTTAGTTTATTCAATAATTAATGAAAGTCAAATAACTGAAAAGATTTATATTAATTCCATTAAATATATAAGGTCATCTAGAGGTGTCTGATAACGAATAAATATTGATAAGAATAATATAGAGAACCATGGATTTGATCGTCCAAAAAGAATTTGTGATATTACAGAAATTGATAGTTGGAATTCAACGGCTAAAACTTGAATTGAACTCAATAGTTGCTATTATAAAAGTAATAGCGAATTTTAACTTTATTTCTATTAAGATCACCACTACGATTTTCGAAAAATTCTATTAAGGAGTACTAGTCGTTTCTTTTGTTTATAGAGTTATCAGTCTTTTTTTCTGAAGACTACTGACTGAGAAATTGACTATGAACAACTGTTGTTAAATGGAACGAGAAACTATGCAATGTGATAGCTGCTTTCGAATGGACATAGTCACAGCTCTCTCTTTCTCTCTCTCTCTCTCTCTCTCTTGTTCCTATCAAAGTTATTTATAATCAAAGACTACCGAATAACTTCTAATGACTCTGTGAAGGACATATTAAAGAAAAATATATAAGTCTTGACATGGATAATGATACATTTCGGTTCTAAACGGAGACTACATGGCTCTTCTGATTTAACTAGCATATGAGATCTATTAGGATAGCAGAAGCTGCATAACTCGATTTTAATGAGAAGTTAGTTTCTTCCTGTTCTATCACATACGATCAGTTCGTAGGCTCTATACATATAAAAACCTATAAAAATCAGTAAAAAAATATTTCTACAGTTTTCAAATGATGATTTTAATTCGAACTTCAACTTATAAATAGATGAAACTGCCTATGATTTCCTGGTTAAGAAAATGTCAACTCATAAACTCCGTTATGTTTTCCCAATATCATTCGAAAATCGAATACAGTTGCTCAATGCAGAATTTTTCTTCAATAATTTTTATAATTTAAGTATCAATAGTTAATTATGCTTAATCACATTGTTTTAAGCGAGT